TCCTCCTCCTCCTCCTCCTCCTCCTCCTCCTCCCCCTCCCTGCGGCCGCCCGCCAAACACGGGGCTGGCGGGGCTCAACCAAAAGCCCCACGATCCGAATCTCATCATCGGAATGGAAACAGGGATTTATCGGTAAATTTTGTGAAAAGTACTTGACAACACATTTTTTATACGCCCGGGAAAAGTTGTAAGGTTTTGAACGAAAATCGCTGAGTAGGTACACATAGATTTTGGGTGACATGGAACGTCACATTTTTCTTCGACTACACCAAAACTGAATCGACTCAGGGTTAAATTTTCGAGAGATTATGTTGTTGTAATGTTACTGATGTGTTCTTGCTTGCAGGTATGGTGTGTTTGCGTCAGAGAGAATGCGCCGCTACCACCGGTCCCACAGTCCCACGGGCTCACGCCTGGAAACTAACGCCGCCTATTCATCCCGCGTAATAGCTTTTGTCTTGTTTTCTTTTTTTCTTTTTTTTGTTTACCTCCCGTTTTCTCTCTCTCTATTGTACATTTTTGTACCGCGCTGCAAAGGCGTGCCGGTGTGGTGTTGCGGAGCCACGGGCGGCTGAGCACTGAGAGCATCAAACAATCGCTCCACCGCAGTGGGTACTATGTCGTACTACACTACAGGGCGCAGTGGCGCAGGCCAATGCCGCTTTTCGTCGTCCCTGCAAAGTTTTCATTTTCTTGGCTCACCCTCTTGCATGTATACCCGCCCGTTTGTCACCGCCTCTCATTCTCTGACATGATCCTTGCGCTTTTTCGCGCCGCCCCAGGACGGTCGTGATACACAAAGAAGCACAGTCACCCACGCCCCTTTGCTCCACTATAAAGGGCAGATGAACCCGACATAAATGCAGGAAACGGTAGATGAAGGGAAGGGTTCGGCTCTCCTATTCTTTGCAGAGCATGCATGTTTTGCATTGGCCATTCCGACCACTGCCTTTTCTGGTGTTCGTCATCTGTCGCTAGTAATTTGTCCTTTCAATATATATGGAGCTCAAATACACTAGACTTTACTTCGCTGTGGGAACAGAATCGCTAATGCTTTTATCAGACATGAAGTTCCTGTCTCACCATTGTTCACAACCTGCCTGCCGTGACGACAGGGCAGAGAGAATACTTTACAAATCTAAGTGCCGAATCGTTCTACCGTTGTAAATAATATCTCTCAAATTTAATAACATTTTCACTCGTTTTTAAACGTGATAGTAGATTACACGGAAAAAAAGATTCGCTGAGCCAGCTAATATATTGACTGG